TATGTGTGTGTGTTCCTGATCCACATGCCTCCTGCATCAGTCATGTTTCCACTTTTTACTTTCTGTAAAGTAGAAGAAGTGAAGGGACAGCGCTGAGCGATCCGAGTGCAGGAGGGCTGCACGCGCGTGGTCTCGTTCCACTACCTACGTTATGCTGTCTCTCTCCCACCTAAAGCTAGTGGAAATATATACACAGTTATATACAAGTCTCAGTTACTTTTATTGCTGGGACAAAATACCAACACTCAAAATTAAGGAAGGAAAGGTTCGTTTAGCTCCCAGATAGTGAGGTTCCAGTCCATACTTAGCTGGCTCCGAGGCAGAGCGGCATGTGGCTGAGGGCAGCAGTTCTTGGTGGTGAAAAACAACCAAACAGCAAGAGCCAGTGAAGGAGCAGCTTAGTGGCAACATCAGCAGGCAGCAGACAGCAAGTCTGTCTCTCTGCTTCCTTATGTTACATTCAGGCTATCCACCCTAGGCTGGGTGTAGTACTCACACCCATAATTCCAGCAGCATTCACACCCATAATCCCAGCAGCACTCACACCCATAATATTAGCACTTGGATTTTGAGTTAATCTCAAAGTCTGGAAATCTGCCCCATGACTGCATGAGGCACTTGGGGGGACAGCTAGGCACAACCCATAATACGTATATAACTTTTAGTCATTCTTTATGAGATGCAGTGACATTGAGCATGCCCGCTGTGTGGCCGTCACCACGATCCACTTCCAGAATATTTCTCCTCCAGCCGAGCGCTCGGCGCCACTGCACCATCATGGCCCTTCACGCTCTCCTCCTGCCCCTGGCAGCCTCTTCTGCTGTCTCTGTGAGCTCTGCTTATTGCAGGCTCTCCTGTGAGTGAACGCATACAGCGTCAGTCCTGTGTCTGCCTTGTGTGGCTAAGCGTACCGCTCTCACATTTCATCCCTGTTGAGGCATGTGATTCTACTGCTGGCGTACCCGTTCCCATCGCTTGGCTCCCCCACCTTTAGGCTGCTGTGCGGCGTGCTCTGAAGATGTACCTGCCTGTCTGCTGTCACTCTCCAGGGTGTTGCCCAGGAGGGCAATTGCTAGATCACATGGTACTTCTACATACACTCTTTCGAGGAATAGCCAAACCCCTTTCCAGAAAACTTGTTTTGTAGAGCAGCTTGGCTTTGGACTTCCAAGGCCCTCAAATGGTTTGCACAGAAGCCAAAGCTCTTTTCTGTTGGCTCTGTATTGTATCATCAGTTTGAATCACTTAATTGACTCCCACAACTGTAGGAATAAGACCAAGCGTCGTGAGCAGGTTGGAAACATGCAGTAGATATTGCTAAGTGTGTAAATGCCCTGGGAGGCCCAGAAGGCCTTGGGGAGCAGTTTTGCAGGAACCAGCCCCAGAGTGTGGTGCGCCCTGGCTGGTACATGCCACAGAACAGGAACTCCAGGCGGAGGACAGCGCTTGGTGGCTGCTGGTGAGGCGTCTAGGCCAGAGAAGAGAGCTGGCACCGCTCAGCAGGCTCATCTCAGTCACGAGACACTGGGTGAAGCAATGTAGAAACAAGTGATTGGGGACTTAGCGAACGACTGTCACATAGTCGGGAGTGTTAACGCTCACCCACATTGTGGAGATGGAGGATGGGGAGGTGGCTGAGCAGGTCCGTGTGTGCATAAACTCTGAATTTAGGAGGAGACAGACAGACGAGCAGTGTCACAAGCTGGTGCCCACACCTTCTTCACTCTTGGTTTAACTTAGTGTCATGATGCAGGCATGTAAAAGCAGGGCAAAGACAGTTGTCACCATCTTGCAGAAGTAGACAGCTTCATGATAAGATTCTGGGTTGAAGCGTGCTCAGAAGATTTACCAGGCAGCTCTGTGGTGAGGTCATGGAGCTGTAGGCCGGGTGCTCCGCAGAGCGTCCTCCATCCTCCTTAGCCACCCGAGTGATGCAGCTTTGGAAATTGCCCCCCTAAATGTGGTCTGTAGGGGCCAGGTTTATTTGGCTTAACGTGGGAAGTTGAGTGTACTGAGTGGGGTTGATAACTGTCTCGAAGAACACGAGGGGCCTTCCCTGAGGAGGGAGCAGCCTTCTCCTGTCCTGCTACTGACTGGGGAAGAAGAAGGGACCTCAGAAATAACAAGGAGGTTGAAAGGCCCCTTGTCCTTAAAGTTCAAGGCAGTGGACTGGCAAGACCAGGTCACGGCCCTGCTTCAGGATTGCAGTTTACTGTTTCCTGAGTGATTTACATGTTCTGTTTTCTTTTTCTTTACTTTTTTAAAGTTTTTCTTTTTCGTTCCTTTTGACACAACATCTTACTATGCAGTTCAGGCTGGCTTTGAGCTCATTTGGTAGCCTAGGTTGGTCTTAAATTCCCAACAATCCTCCTGCCCTAGCCCCCAAGAGCTGGGAGGGAAGAAAATAAAAGAGAAGGCAAGCCAGGAAAAGGAAAGAGAAGAGAAGATGAAAGGACGTCGGGAACCTTTAAGCCAAGGAAGAGCGTGAGGCTGTCCATGGCCGCAGCTCCCAGATCTTCTGGCTAGGCAGCTCTGACCCCTGAGGCTTCTAGCAAAATGTAAAGTAAGAAAGCGCCAGAGTCTCTTTTGTACCCTCTTTTCTTTTTAAAATAAGATGTAAGAATGTCCATAAATTTGCTAATGTGCATATTTTTCTATTTATTTGCTCAAAATGGTCAGGATTTTTTTAAAATTTCATATCTTCAGTGAGACTAAATATTACATAAGTGTAAATACATGCATCATATGGTCCTAGATATTTGATATATAATATAAATTATATATGTTAATATTAATATATAATTTGCATCTATAAACACTGTTATAAATTATATCATGTTATGCTAATATATATCATTAATTCAACAATGAAAGTAATGTTTCGTTTTAGGCAGTGTGTCCAAATATTAGTTATATGACAATGAACAGTATATACAGTGTGTCACTTAGGAGCTCAGCAAACATGCAAAAGGCCGTGTGCTAATCCATCCTTGCCGGAAATCACATAAAAGAAAAATTTAAAGATAGAAAAGTGAGCTCTGTGTGCGAGTAAGCTTTAGCCAGTGAGGCCGATGGGAGTGTCTGAAAACCTCTTCTCCACCAGTTGTTATTGTCCCTGTCCTCATTAGACTCGTTGTGCCATTTATTCTTGGTTGGGTAAATGATGTTGCATTTGCCCAACTGGGAGTTACTTTCTGCAAACTTCGATTCACGGAGGACTGCCCACCATTCAGCTGTGCTCGAAGAGTTGTATCTGCATGTCAGCATTAACTGAACTTCTGGTCTACCGCGGTACACTTTCCTCTTGTGCCCCATTGATTCTAATCGTCTTTAAAGGTCTTTGCTATCTCCTGCCCTCTGGAGAGGGGTAAGGGTGGATCACAATCCAACTCTGGCTCCTGTCATGGTTTCTGGCCTGCAAATTCCAGCCCTGTGGTGGGAAGCAGGGTTGGGTTACCTTGAACCCTGCCCCATTTTCCCAGAGAGGTTCTGGCAAGGCCCTCTGCTGCACTGAGTTCCAGGTCCCCTCATCCACCTTCTGGGAACATCGTGAGGATTAACCTGAGTGAGATTATGTGCCACACGCCAAGAGGCCATTATGCCAGCTCTTGAGGAACATCTCCTGGTTCCCTGTAGCCTACGAAGGGACATTTTGGCTGCTTGAGGATCACGTTACCAGGCCTCAAGATTCCTTCCATTTAGGGGGCTTCACTGGGTCAGCAGGGGAAGTCTACAGGGTAGAGTTTGTCTAAAATTTAGGAGGGCACCCGAATCCAAGTGTGTGAATCACTTACCTTTTTTATACTTTCTTAGTCGAGAAAAATAAAAGTCTACTATAAAGCCAAATACTCCAGCAAGTGCTTATTGCCAGATTACCTGAAGCAAAGTATGCACACACGGAAGGAAAGCACATTTCGAAATTGGAGGGAAGATTACACTTTTTCTCTGTGAGATTTGAAGGAGAGCTAGTAAGTGTTCTTGGTATTCTGACAGTGCTTCAGCAGACAGTGGCTTCACTGAGGGCTGTGCTTGGAATGATGCCACACTGAAGACACGACTTCTGACCTTGAGGGGCTCAGGGGTTTGGGGAGACCACACCCCCAGCACGACACGACCATGCAGACTTAGACTGAGTGCTGCTTGGGAGCCTCAGGATGAGCAGGGGCAGGCGCCAGAGGCAGGGCGGGACCGGGCTCCCCCTCCCGGGGCCACAGGGTGGTAGTTCAGTGCAGGAAACACTCTCATTTCAGGATGACATTGTGAGAAACGGCCTCAAGCAGTTATTTCCCATAGAAAGCAAGGGCTCCTCAGTTCTTTTGTACGTATGTGAAACCAAGGTACCTTCTTGGAGTCCAGGATCCAGGCTGGTTAGCTTCACGGTTCTCTGCCACACACTAGACCACATTGCTCCTGCTCAGTTCATTCTTAGGCTGCAGGATGTGGACTATCTTCATAAATCAGAGCAAGTCACTTGGAGAGTCAAAATCCCAGCTGGAGCCTTACCTCCAAAGCTGAGGCAGGACACATATTTTAATGCCAGTGGATTTAGGGATGAAAGATCAGACCTTTTTCTGGTTACTAGGGGGAGATTTGCAATTCAGAGATTTTGAGGGTGATCCTGGATCTGCTGAACTGAACCCCTCTTCCCATCCCTCTCTGTCCCTCAGCCCCCAGAGAACAGGTGGGTAGAGCAACAAAGCCATCGACTTAGTAGCATAGGATTATGGCTGAAACCTTGTAAAGCTTATGTCAGCAAAGTAAAATAATTACCGTCAGTTTCTTTTAGACAGTTGGCTTTACAGTCATGTCACCTTTGTCATAACAGGCGGCTGATTCCGTAGCTCTGTTTTTCGTGGCAGATGGCCTGGTGTTGGAACGGAAGTGCTCCGAGGGACCGGAGCAGAATTAGATTTGAGATAACGCACTGGGATCGTGTTTGTGGCTTGGGTTGTCACCGTCAGTGTGCTGAGGGTGCTTTCTGTGTTGCTTTTTCCACTTAGATCCTCAAATCCAAAGATTTGACGTCTCCAAACCAGCGCTACATCGATAGCAAAGTTGTGAAAACAAGAGCCGAAGGCGAATGGCTGTCCTTCGATGTGACGGATGCTGTGCACGAGTGGCTACACCACAAAGGTTGGTCTCGGGGGCACTTGGTTGTTACATGCTGGCTGCAGATGTAATGGTGTGGATACACATTCATGTGACCTCCTTGACTTAATGTTTTCCAGACAGGAATCTTGGATTTAAAATAAGTTTACACTGTCCCTGCTGCACCTTTGTGCCATCTAATAACTACATTATACCCAATAAAAGTGAAGAGCTAGAAGCAAGGTTTGCAGGTAAGTGAAACTCAGCCATCAGAAATGGGGCAGGACTTTTGTTGTGATTTCTTGGGGGACAGAGTCAGTTTGCATGTGACAGACTGGAGACATGGGGGCAGGGAGTCTCAATGTGGGTGGTGATATGGTTGGAGAAAGCTAGAAGAAGCAGAAAGCATTGGGAGAAGGGGAATGGGTGGGTTCTCGGCTTCCAAGGCTCACTGCCCAGTGATGGGTCAGTGTCACTGACTGACTCACCAACCCTTCAGACAGCTAAAATAGATGAGCCACTTATCCTTCACTCAAGCAAGGCAAGTGTCCATGCACTTCATCTTGTACCAGTGGATAGTGTGCATGCAGGGAACTCTCCTGGTAATTCCCTGAGCCAACTGTTCAGGACACACGACTCGATCTCACCAAAGAAAGCAGTCTTCTCATGTTGGAGTTTCTATAACTGAAGCTTACATGTGTTGGCGCCCTGAACCTTTCTACCTTGTACCCAGCATTCCGGGGGCTCCTTTACCAGAACTTTGCAATAGCTGATCAAACATAACAAGATTTGGTTTTCCTCATGCCCACGCTAAGTGAATGAGCCACAAGTCAGAGACAAGGAGGAACTGTGACACACTGAGTCACTTTGTGTACTGGATAATGAGCCGCTGGGTGAGGAGAGGGGGACTCAGTCTACATTCACAGGCGGGGCCAGCGCCAGCCTGTACTGCTGGGTCGGGAGGCTGAGCTTTCTTCCTTTCTAACACCATCCGGGTCCCATGTCCACCTTCAGGGGCCACCATGGCCCTTGCTTTTGGTGAGATACTTCCGGAGGCCTGAAGATTTATTTTAGTCTCTAGCCCAGCCACAATTCTCTTGAGTGTGGAGATCAAATGCTGAAGCTGGCAGTCTCTTGAGTGTGCTTTGGGGAGCTCAAGTTTCTAAATCTCAGATGGAATCAGGAGAGTGTTGAGGATGCCCTAAAATAAATGAAAATGAAAAAGCCCTTTCTTCCCAGCTTCCCTAAATAGCGTTAGGTAAGGGCGACTTCTGTTTCACTTGAACCTAGCTCACTGCCATTTAGCTGAGTCTCAGTTTATGTTCCTTAGCAAAGTCATCTGTATATAGCTTTCCTGGGAAGGGAGTAAGCCAGGGGTGACAAAGCAGGGTCTGTGCCTTTCTGCTGTCAACAGTCTGAACACAGACTACACTGAGCACTGACGCAGGTCGGCGACCTGGAGTGTTCCTGGACCCTGGGTCAAAGGCTGCTCTGGAGGACTCCTGCAGGCTACAGCCTTCCCTTGGACCCTGAGCTGCCTTCTGACAAGAGTCGCATTGAGAAGTGCTGTCGCCTAGGGTCATCCTGTCCTTTCTGTCTCCTTGGGGGAATGATAGTAGCCAGGCCATGGTGGTCATCACTGCCATTTGTGACAATATGCAAAGCAAAAAATTATATATATTATAGCTGATGATGTGCAATGAAGGTAAAGCTAAATGTTTATTACCAAATGCATTTTTTCAAGGTATTGATGGCACCTCCACATATACCAGTGGTGATCAGAAAACTATAAAGTCCACTAGGAAAACAAACAGTGGGAAGACCCCACATCTCCTGCTAATGTTGTTGCCCTCCTACAGACTTGAGTCGCCACCGTCCAACCGGCGGAAGAAGCGCGCTTTGGACGCGGCCTATTGCTTCAGGTAAAGAAATGAAAATGAGTGTGTGGTTGTGGTTGCCTCTGCTGACCTTGTTTCCCCTGTGCTTTCTGTGCTAGCACAGCAGCCCGAGTGGCCCACACTCACCCGGGCCAGGTTAGGGCAGTGTCGCACGCGGCCTCACACGTCACTCCTCCCAGTCCTCATGCAGGCTTAAGGCAGATACATCTGGCGGCGTTCATCAGTTCCTTAGCAAAGAGCCGAGTGCGAGGGGAGAAAGCAGCCCTTGGAATGCCCTCCCCAAGCCTTCTGAAGTGTGTTGTTGTTAGGAAAGCATGCTGAGCTTGCAGCTCCCCAGAGGAGGTGGGGATGGGGTAGCCCTTCCCACGTCTACATGAGGCCTTGCCCTCTCTTCAGCATGCCGGGGACCAGGCCTTGTCACACAAAGGAGACGAGATGGCAGCAGAGGGCCACCTGTCATATCTTAGCTACAGGAGGAAGTGAAGGGCAGGGAGGGTTCCTGTGTGAATTCATGGCGGGAGAGAGTGGTGTTCTGCCTGGATTCTTATCAAATGCGGTCAGGAGAGGCTCTGACTGGGGTTTTAGTTGTGCTTTATTTCTTTTGTATGGTTGTTTTCATTTTGGCTTTACTAGAGGTTGAACCCAGGGCTGTTACATGGAGTTGCCTATGACATACTCAGCTTTCCCTCCCTCCCTCCCTCCCTCCCTCCCTCCTCTTCCTGCTTCTCCTCCTCCTCCTTCCTTTCTTACTCTTGAGCCAGAATCTCACCAGCTCGCTTAATGGCCCAGCTGGGCTTCTTCGCCTTGTGGTCCTCCTGTCTCAGCTTCCCAGAGCTCTAGGATGACCCGCGTGCTCTCCTATGCGCAGCTAGCGGTGATGAGGCTGTCCAGGGGCTCTGAGCTGGGTGTACTCAGTATATCAGAGACCACAAGCAGAGTGACCTCTGTTGGTTGCTAGTGTCAGCGATCATACTTAGCAAGATTCTATTTCTTTTCATATTTAGTTCTTTCCTATATCCAGGAATATGTGGTGAAATTGATCTTGTCTCAGACAAGCGTCAGATGGTTCTTTGATTACAGCTGGAGCTTTTCATTCCTTTTATAAGTGAAAGGCATCTAGGCTGGACGGCAGAACAGCCTGGGCGTGTACGTCAGTCAGTTCACTGGTTGTTGGTGTCCCTCCCAGCCACCTCCCGCTTCTGCGGTCATTTGAGGGCAGAGTTTGGCTTTCTAGGACACAGGTGGGGAGGGAGGTGAGAGCTGGGAGTGAGCACAGCTCATGAGGGAGGGTCAGCCAGTGAGTCTCCCCACATCCCATTGTAAAAGTCACTAGAGAGTTCAGTGAAACCCAGCCCTGCTCACTGCTCTGGCTGCCGCGAGATGCGTGTGGGAAAGCTGCTTGCAAACCTGCCCTGCTCTCTCTTTCCACAGAAATGTGCAGGATAATTGCTGCCTGCGCCCGCTTTATATTGATTTCAAGAGAGATCTTGGGTGGAAATGGATTCACGAGCCTAAAGGGTACAATGCCAACTTCTGTGCGGGGGCCTGCCCCTATCTGTGGAGCTCGGACACCCAGCACAGCAGGGTGAGTGTCTGGGAGCGCGGCTCCTCTGTTCCAAGCGGCGGGTGTGCCTGACGGCAGGACGTGGTTCTACGTGAACGCACGGCGCTAAGTAGACCCAGTGGGATGGGGAAGCGAAACAGGCTGTAGATGGCATTGGCGGGAGCCCATGTCCATGTGAAACAGTAGCCGATGAGCAGCTGCAAGTGAGCTTTATTAATTTGCTCTTGGTTTCACATTCTGAAAGTATATAAACATAGATAGGTAGCAGGAAAAGGCAGCTCTTTTTAATCCATGTATGACATCACATCACATGTAATGAAGCAGTTAAGGGACTCTGGTCTCCATCTGAGAAAAGACTCCATTGTCACCTCCACCAGGAACTGTTGTCAGACAGAGCAGTGAGGACTCCAGCTAAAGCTTTAGCACAGTGGCTTCCTGGCATAGGACAGTTAGGATGTCATTTGACCTCTCTGAAACTCAATTTCTTATCGGTGGAAAAGAATGTCCATATTAAAAAGGATCCCTGAAACAATGCTGAACTCAAAGTTGCTGTGAGATAGAAAGACAGGAAGTACGTGAACATCAGGACCTCTTTCTAGCATTACCCAAGGTAGCCAAGAGTGGGGCATTTCATCCAGTCACTTCTCTGAGGACCATGGTTTGGAAGGCAGGGCCAGTGTTGGAGGCCATGGGGTTCCAGCACACACTAGAAAGGCCTTTGCCTGATAGTTCTCCTGCTCCCTCCCGATGCCTCCTGATACAGAATTGTAGAGATGGGAAGGATCCACTGAGTTATCTTGTCCACCTTCATTTTTCCAAAGGAATCAGGGCCTGGATGACTTGCCCAAGATTCACAGAAGGGTAGGGACAGGCCAGGGCTTGGAATGCAGCCCTTCTTGTTTCATAACTGGGCCTCCATTTGCTCTATCCCACAGAGTTTAATTCCTAAAATGTGGCTACCTGGGGAGGCTTTCTCCTCTGCCCCTTATTTCTCAGTAAATCTCCCTATTAAAGAGGCATTAGAAAGATCGCCTTCACGGCAGGGTAGGAAAATGAGTCTCCTGCCAGAAAGATCACATAATGCTTTCAGTTAAGTTCAGGAGTTTGGAGGTTATCAATTATCCTAGACAATCTGTGTTATAAAAATGTCTCTTTACTGCCTATGAAAAATTGCATGTGAGTGGAATCTGAAGCCTATTTATTTATAAATGCCCACAGAGGCTGGAGCTCAGATTGACAAGCGCAACTCCCCTTCCTCTGCCCCCCAGGCCTTGGCACTCGGGGTCCACGTGCTTGGCCGCGTGAGGGAGGCTTGCTCGTGCCTGTCCCTTTGTCTGAGCTCCCTGGCTGGGCCGCTGCATCTGGGCCGCAGCAGCAGTAGCCGTAATGTGGGCAAGGCCCCGTTGCCAAGCAGAAGCATAATTCTCCTCCCCGATACACAGAAGGAGTGTGTGCAGGCTGAGACTGGGCCTGTTTTTCAAGGAGAAAGGAAGAATAACTGTCATGGTCACAAGTATGCGGTTTGGACAGAGCTACCCAAGAAGCTAGGGGCAGTTTAATAAAGTAGTCAGTGTTGCCGCACTGAACAGACCTTCTGTCTTAGACTGAAAAAATTGCAGTGAATCTCGAGGAAAAGGTCACTTGCTGTTTGGCCAATGCGTTAATGGCATCCTTGGAACTGTCTGTGTGCCATTCGGGGACCTCCATGCCGGGGCTTGTGGGAGTCGCACCCCCTTGACGCCAACCCCGACTGAAGGGACAGGGCTGACTGCGCGCTGCCCTGTGGCTCTCTCCCCACCCCTCCAGCTAGGTGAAGGGAGTGTGGGCCATAGTTGTCTTCCCTATCAGCCAAATGTGTGAGTGTGAATAGTTAAGGAGGTCGATGGCTTTCCACGTCACTCTGAGCACTGCCATTATTACGAGGCAATCAGAAAGAAAAAAAAAAGTTTAAAGTGAAAATTTTGGGACGTTAAACATGCCTGAGAAGACACATAATGTGACAGTGTTTCCCCAGCAGACAGGGTAGGTAACCTGCGCTAGGCCTGAGCGTAGTAGGCTCCAGTTCCAGCGCGCACCCAGGGACTGCATTCATTCTGCTGCTATCCGTGCGTCCCGGTCTTCCCTGAGCGTGTGGATCTGATCCTGTCCAGGGGAGACTTCCCAGCGCTCCAGGATGCAGTCACAGGCTGTAGTGTCCCTGAGTGTGAGTGAGCTCTTAGTCCACTTAGCAACTGCTTGTGCACACACGCATGGAGTAACTGCAGTTAGAGAACAGCATGGAAAGAAGGCCTAATACTAAGCGGCATGGGGAGTGTCAGCCTCAAAGCAGGGGCCAGGGCCGACTTCTGGAAAAAGTTGGGAAAATTGGCTGAATGAACAATTGGGTTCATTTGAGTTTTATAATTGATCCTGCTTATGGTATAGAGAAAAAGCATCTTGCAGGAGGAGAAGGTAAGCCTGGTGATGGCTGTGGACACATACCAATCCCAATCTGGTTATCATTTAGGGTTCACAACAGGTGACAGCCAATCCAAAATACTTGGTATTGCCTACTGAATGCCTTGGCTGATAGCAGCACAGAGAGATTCTTTGAAAACTAATTGTTCTGGGTGGTTTTTGCTCCTCCTTTGCCAATGTTGCCTGTCATCTCCTGTGTCCTCAGGTCCTCAGCTTGTATAACACGATCAACCCGGAGGCCTCAGCATCTCCGTGCTGTGTGTCCCAGGACCTGGAGCCGCTCACCATCCTCTACTACATCGGCAAAACCCCCAAGATTGAGCAGCTCTCCAACATGATCGTCAAGTCGTGCAAGTGCAGCTAAGGCTCTTGGGGAAGCAACCGGTGAAATCGCAAACACGACTCCGATGATGCGTATAACAAGAAAACGCAGGAAAGCCTCCCTCGGCTCATCCTGTTACCATGGCTGAGAAAACGGTACTAGTTCAAATGCTTGGGAAGTGTGTGTTCTGTTTGTTAAAACTGGCATCTGAAACAACAACAACAACAACAACATAAAGCAGAGGGCCTTATTCTACATTTCACCTCTTTGTAAGTGAGAGAGACGAGAAGCAAAATCTTTTTTTTTAAAGGAAAAAAATAAACACTGGAAGAATTTGTTAGTATTAATTATGTGAAAGAAAATAAAAAGAAAACCAGGAGAATCCTGTTCCTTGCCGCTTCCGCCGCTCCTGCCCGCTTGCTGTCCCTCTTGCTTTGCACTCGGCCCGCCCCTCCTAGGTTTAACAGCAAGTTATTTATTGTGTGTTACTATATAATGAACGTTTCATTGCCCTTGGAAAATAAAACAGGTGTATAAAGTGGAGACCAAGCCCTGTGCCAGGAACTCCAGAATGGCTTAAGGAAACTTGAACTCAAACGAGCCAGAAAAAAAGAGGTCATTACTGGGGGAAAAAAAAACCCCAAAACCAACCCTTGAGTTAGATGACCGAGCCAGTCTGCCTTAAGAAAAGACCCGAAAGCAGGAGCACGCACCGAATGCCTGCAGAACACGTGGATGGGGCTCGAACACTAGAGGCCTATTAATGAAAGAAATTGTCAGCCAGAATAAGTCTGTAAGAATTTTTTTCCTTTGAATTGTATGTGGTTCTTTGTCAGTTTAGTAAACTTGTGAAATATTGAAATGTTTTGACATATAATGGTCAGACTTCAGACCTTAATGCGTTGCTGTATACCTGAAGGGTTTCTCCTTTGTTTTGGTGTATGTAACCCTACCTGTATTATTAAAATAGATGAGTGTAGAAGCCAGTGTAATTGAAATCACATCTGTGGCTCTCTTTTGCAAAGTATTAAGTCCAGACATTAACAACTTCACGTGTAATGTGTAAATTCTTACCATATTTTCTATATTCCGTAATAATGTCATGTGACTTAGATTGGACTTAAATTTGAACCTTTTTTAATGATAATTCACAATTAATTGTGTTCCCTTTAGCTGGCCAGTATTTTGAGTAAAGCCCCTAGACTTTGCCTTGTACTACAAAGATTTTTCTTTTTAATAAGATTTGCTCTCTTGTGCTTTGTGTGTTATCCATTTCTGTGACATAGGTTACCTGGGTTTCTTTGTCTTTTTTTTTTTTTCCTTACAAAAAGAATTGATTTGAATTTAATGATCTTCCTTCATCTTGTGATCATCACTACTAATCAAATCAGATATTAGAAATCAAGTCAGATACTAGGAAAATGGGAAATGTTATGGAAACATAAATAAGC